TCGGGCATGGTGGTTCACACTTGTAATTCCAGCATTTTGGGAGGCCAAGGCAGGTGTACAGCTTCAGCTCAGGAGCATGAAATCAGCTTGGACAACATGACGAAACCCCATCTCTACAAAAAACCCAAAAATTACTGGTGCGCCCCGCACCTGTACTATCAGCTACTCAGGAAGCTGAAGTGGGAGAATCACCAGAGTCTGGGAGGTCGCGGATGCAGTGAGCCCTGATCGCACTACTATACTTCAGCCTGGGCAACAGAATAAGACCCTGTTCCCCTACAACTAAAAAAAAAATCATCATTATTTCTAAAGCCTGTTCAAAAACTGACAAGATGTTAGAAATAACAAAGCTAGCTGTTTGTTGCTTGGCTGGGGGATTTTTGTTTTAGGTAAACATGGAAACTTAAAATTTACCATAATCTTTACATTCTTGTCCAGGAAGGTCACAAACCTTAACTCCAGGGATACCAGGGTAGAAAATTAACCTTTATCTGGGACAGTCATTTTTTACTGCAGAAGCTTCTGGGTCAGAAGACTGCACTATTTATTAAGATGTGAGGTTCCAGCATCAGACTAAGATTTAGTATTTAAAGGAAGTTAAATATTAAATATATTACACATTTTTTTTCTAACACAAGGTACCAAAATAAATTATATTTTAACTCATTTAATATAATTTTAGTGGGATTTGGCAATGAAGTAAGATTATTAGAACCTCCCCCTTCTATATCTTGTAATGTACATTGTACGTTTAGACTAGTTTCTCAGTTTTTGTCATTCAAAATTCTCAATTCTCCAAATGAAGTTTAAAAACTTGGATTTCCCATCCAAAATTGCTGTCTTCTAAAAAATATACAATTTAAGTGCAAAGAAAGCATTTAAAATTTTCTACCTTACTTCTCCTATAGATAAAATGAATATATTGGAATATCAATTACATACTCTATGCTTTACACAGCCCAAACTAAAGTGAACCAGGAAAGGCAATTTTATTCTAAGAAATTACTATAGCGAGAGCCATAGTATATACACAGTCATCATGTGCCACAACATTTTGATCAATGATGAAATGCATATACAAACGACAGTGGTTCCCTTAAGATTATAATGCCTCATCTTTACCATTTTGATGATCAGATACACAAATACTTCCCATTGTGTTACTACCGCCTACAGTAGCATGCTGTACAGATTTGTTGCCTAGGGACAATAGGCTATACCATACAGCCTAGATATACCACCGAAGTTTGTGTAAACACACTATGATAACACAACGAAACCACCTAACAATGCCCACCTTCACTGATGACACATAACTATGTGTGTGCACAAGACTCTGTGTGTGTGTATACATATTTGTATACGCCTGCATGTAACCGTGTGTGTAACAGCTGAGCATGGTGGCTCACGCCTGTAATTCCAGCACTTCGGAAGGCTAAGGCGGGCAGATTGCTTAAGCCTAGGAGTTCAAGATAATCCTGGGCAACATAGGAAGACCTCGTCTCCACTAAAAATAAAAAATTAGCTGGGCATGCTGGTACACACCTATAGTCCCAGCTACTAGAGAGGCTGAGTTTGAGCCCTGGGAGGTTGAGGCTGCAGTGAGCCATGACTGCCCCCACTGCACTCTGGCTGAGGCGATAGAGGCTGTCTGAAAACAACAACTGTGTGTATATATACAGTAGTCCCTCACTTATCCAAGGTTTTGCTTTTGAGGGGTTTGTTACCCCCAGTCAACTGAGTCAATCACTGTCCAAAAATACAAAAATGGAAAATTCCAGAAATAAATAATTTACAAGTTTTAAACTGTGTGCTAAGTAGTGTGATGAAGTTATGCACCGTCCCACTCTGTACTGCCTGGGAAGTGAATCATCTCTTTGGTCAACAAATATTTGCATTACATATGTTACCTGCCGTTAGTCATTTAGCTAACTGTCTCAGGTAGATCAACTGTCCACATATGGCAGTGCCAGTGTTCAAAGTAACCCTTATTTTACTTAATAATAGGCCCAAAGCACAAGAGTAGTGATGGTGGCATACTGTAATGACTGTTCTACTTTATTATTGTTGTGGTTGATCTCTTACAGTCCCTAACTTATAAACTTCATCATAAACATGTACATATAGAAAAAAACACAGTATATACCGGATTTAGTAATATCCATTGTTTCAGGTATCCACTGTGGGTCTTAGAACATACTTATCAGGAATAAGGCTGGTAGAGGTTGGGGGTGGGGGGAAAAGTGTTGTATAACTTAAACTGAGAAACTCTTAGCTTTGGTTATCACACTGCACATGTCATATAACCAATCAGTTAACGAACTCCAACCTGGTAAATATTCAAGGTACTGAAACACAATTACTGTATACAAGCAACCCAGTGAACAAGACAGATGTACTCTGAGCCCTCAGGGAGCTTCCAGTTGGGTAATGTAGAAAACATGTTATTTTTAATGCAGTAACTCATTACACATTACTCATACACGTCTTGGATAGATTATTTTTTAACTGTTCTTTGTAGGAAACTTTGTAAAAGCTTAATAAAATTTATACAAGGTGTCTGCAATAACAGAAAAGATGCGTATTTCCTCCTTACATAGAAAAATAGCATTTAATATTAGTTAACACCAACATTGTAACACTTTTCAAATCCAGTTTATTGGGCAAATTATCACCACAGGAATGACAGGGAGCTAGCAATCTGCCCAGTTATATGGGTTTCAGCTTCTAGGTATGAGTATTATAGAAGCATAATTATAGATTATAGAAATTAATGTCTTTATTACCCAGATAGGTGCAAACCCCTTAATTCAAGAACTCTACGAACAGGAGTCTTTTCACTGTTCTGTGGTTAATATAATTGCCAATTTCTGCAACTTAGACTCATTCGTTATCAAGATCTTAAACCATTTATGGAATCATTTGAGAAGGAACTTAACGTTTGCGACATGACTGAGATTTTTAGAGGGTTTATACTTATAATTTCCTGTTTCATGTTAGGCAATAAAGCACTTAGAGTACCATTTTTCCTTAAGAGAGGAAGAGCCAAGTATTGATTCTAACTATAAAGCTAGGCATGCAATGATGATCAAGTAAATGATACAACCTGTAGGTTACCTAAAACTCTCCCAAAAACAAATAAACAATTCCAGTAGGTAGGTGCTAGTTCTCCATGTAGCCCAGAAACAATCTTTGTTCTAAACTATAAAGATAAAGCACTTATATAAACTTTTTAAATAAAGTTGTTATGAAAATTAAATTTAAAAAAAAAACTAAGCAAATGTGAGGCAAAGAACCTTCTCAAAAGTGGGGAAACGTATCCTATGTATAGACAACAGGTGACATCACTACTTCCCAATAATAGCTATACAGTTTATGTATTTGTATTGCATTATCACCACTAAATCATTTCTAAAGCAAAACTTTTAAAATCATCTACTTTTCTTCTTCAATGTGCATTACTGCGTCTACTCTATCAATGACTTATAAATATTTTCACCTTAGACAACGAATTCTTGAGAAGTACTGAATTTCACTCATGTTTGTGTTTGGTTCATTTCGCCCACCACAACCACTACAGACTCCCATATCCACAGCTCATAAATTACAATCAGATGTTTGCTGAATACTTATTAATTAAGAGTATGTATTTTTAATAACTGAGTTAACTAAGTAAAAGCAGTTTCTTTTACTCACTAACACCATGTAATCCCTATGTTCACATTCCTTCTCGATTTCTCAGAAAAAAACAAAAAACAAAAAACAAAACACAAACCCAGGGAGATTTTTTAGCATTTAGTTTAAGGATGGAACATCAAATTGCTATAACCTAATCAAAGAACTACTTTAGGATAAGGGCAGTATCTTAAACATATTCCCACCCACTCCACTTTCCAAGCTTGTCCCTATCCTAGGGCAGTTCACTGAAGCATGAAGACTCTCCTGATGTAGAAACCAGAAAAATTAAGAAAAAAGGATCACAGGCCTAAGTAACTTGACTCTAGAGCCCACTTAACAAACCCCCACAAAAATCTCCCAAATCAGTTAGGCACACAGAAGAGATGTGTGAGACACAGAGCAGCGACCGTGTCGTATTATTAACTAAAATCTTTCCAAGACTATTATGTTAATCTTAGGGTTGAAAAAGATCTTAAAGCAGCATTTAATCTAAACCACTCTCCAGACAGATATTGATGTAGGACCTACATTAACATCTCTAGGGCTTGGGAACTTAGTATATCCTTCCATTATAGCAACATCAGTTCTCCCTACATTTCACTGAAATTTATCCCTCCAACTCTCTATAACTTGCATCCATCTGTTTCTGACTGTACCCTCTGGGACCTACACACGTTTTTCTAGCATAATAGACCCAGGATTTCTTTGTCAGCCTAAGTCACATAGTTATCTTTCCAAACTAAGTATTCATTTTTCCAAGTATTATGTTTTTCCAAAATGAGTATTCGAGGAACAAAACGGCTAGTTCCCTTTGCCTATTGAACAGGAACAGCCAGAAGTTATTTGCAGATATTTCTCAAGATTAATAATCTGCCAGTGCCACTTCTTAAACATGCTCATTTACCACACTACCAGTGTTGATCGCGGCATTGGGGGTTCTCAAATTTTAGTCTAACAGAAATGGTTGTCCTGAAAATACGCATTACATCCGCATGATCCTACCAGGAAATAAACCTAGGAGCTTGCAACTCAGAAAGGCCCCCTCTCAGCCCAAGACAGCTAAACGGAAAATCAAGCCTGAAATCCGGATCAAAGAAAAACCCTACCGAGATGAAGTGTTAGGCCATATGGAGACCGAGGACGAAAGGGCAGGCCTGGTCTTCGCCAATGAGTCCAAGTGTCTCGGTGGGGGCGACCGGCTCCTCACGAGGCAAGCTAACCTCCCCAACCCCCACTCCCGCCCCGCAACGACCACCACTGCTCCATCACTGGACTCCCGAGCCCCAGCCTCGCCTCCGCCCGTCACCTTTCTCCGCACTAACCTTTCTCCTCCCGAATGTCGGCCGCCATTGCTCCCCTTCGGTTTCCGCCGCTGCCGCCGCCGCTGCCGCCGCCGCCGCCGCCGCCGCTTAGACGCGACTCGCGCGGGTGCCGCAGCCGCGGCAGAAGCACGGGCCCGTCCGTCAGTCCGTCCGCCCAGCTGCGCGCGTCGCACTTGGCCTCTTTAACACTCAGCCTTCCCGACTCTTCCCTCTTTTTCCCTTTCTCCCTTCCTTTCACTCCAGCTTCCAGCCGCCTAGGCCCAGCCTTCTAGTTAGGGCTCAGACTCGAGCGAGGGTATGGGGGAGGGAAGGGAAACAGATGGCGACGGCGGGCGGCGCTAAAATGGAGCCTGCTTCCTGCGCGAAACAATCCCGCTCCCGAAATGCCGTGCGCTGTTTACGCTTCGTTCCTCTCCGGGAACGTCACAGTACGGAGAGGGGCGGGGAGGCGGGACGTGCAAAAGAACGTGACGTGACGTCAGCCCGTCACCCCGCTGCCCTCAGCCCGCTGGTACCTGGAAGGAGTCTTACGCAGAGATTAGGTTGCCCAGGCTGTTCATGGAGTTCCGGCTGTGCTGGCTATACCCGGATGGCGTAATTTTCCAACCTGAAACTCTTAGTGGGGTGCCTGCCAGGCCTTTTTAGCTAGAGTCTCTCTAAAGGACTCCTGATTCAGTTCGGGAAATCGGAGTCTTATTTAGGACAAGTCTGGGTGAATCCTTTATGTTTACCAGATGTGCTTTCTTAGTTGGGGTTCCACTCTTACCCAAAGGCAATGCAACATGCAACCAGCTCCTTTGTAGTCACAAAAGCCTACTAGTTTTTGTTTGTTTTGAGACGGATTCTCGCTCTGTCGCTAGGCTGGAGTGTAGCGGCGCCATCTCCGCTCACTGCAACCTCTGCCTCCCGGGTTCAAGCGATTCTCCTGGCTCTGACTCCCAAGTACCTGGGATTACAGGCGCCCGCCACCATGCCCAACTGATTTTTTTTATTTATAGTAGAGACGGAGTTTCACCATGTTGACCAGGATGGTCTCGATCGCTTGACTTCAGGATCCACCCACCTCAGCTTCCCAAAGTGCTGGGCTCACAGGCGTGAGCCACCACGCCCGTCCTAGGTTTGTTTTTAATTGGGGAAAGAATTGTATCGTAATATGTATTTGTAATTAACAACTAATTTAAACATGTATCAAGGCCCTGGGGCACAAAATTGATTAAAGCAGACCATCCAGGAATCGAAACTACAGAAGAAATGACCAATAGATACATAACTACATAGTGTAAAATCTGCAAGAGAAACTTGCTTAAGATTCATTATCCAATGGAAAGAAAATCTAATTTTGCTTCCCTGAACTATAACTGAATTATAAGGGTAAGAAAAATCTGCAAAAAGGTAACTAAGTAACTTTGTGATATGAAGACAAACTGGCAAACTAATTTCATATTCAGAGAAAGACAAGTAGTCTAGAAGTCTAGAGTGTAGTACCTCTTTTTTTTTTTTTTCTTGAGACTTGGTCTCACTGTCACACAGGCTGGAGTGCAGTGGTGTGATCGTGGCTCACTGCAACCTTGGGCTCAAGTGATCCTCCCACCTTAGCCTCCCCGGTAGATGGAACTACAGTCATGCTCCACCACACCCGGCAAATTTTTTGCATTTTTTGTGGAGATGGTGTTAGCCATGTTGCCCAGGCTAGTCTCTAACTCCTGGGCTCCAGCAGTCTTCCCACCTCGGCCTCCCAAAGTGCTGGGATTACAGGTGTGGAGCCACCAGGACTGGTCCTGTTTCTAGGACCTTAATTGGACATTAATTTGAATATATGAACATGCACACACCACAAACACACACACGTTAAATAATATCTGATGATCCTGAGGAATTGCTATTTGTAATTTTAGTTGTAATAAGTTATTTTTTTTTAAAGAATTTCTTACAATTTCATGATTCATATGAAAATATTTGCAGGCCAGGTGCAATGGCTCACACCTGTAATCCCAGCACTTTGGGAGGCTGAGGTGGGCGGATCACCTGAGGTCAGGAATTTGAGACTAGCCTGATCAACATGGTGAAACCCCGTCTCTACTAAAAATACAAAAATTACTCGGGCGTGGTGGCGTGCGCCTGTAGTCCCAGCTACTCGGGAGGCTAAGGCAGAAGAATTGATTGAACAAGGGTGGTGGAAGTAGCAGTGAGCTGAGATTGTGCCACTTTCACCACAGCCAGGACAACAGAGCTAGACTGTGTCTCAATAATAATATTTGCAAATGAAATTATATGGTATCTGGGATTTATCAAAATAAACTGGTGGCAGGTATAGGAAAGTGGGTGGGAGAATAGATTAAACAAGTCTACCCATGAGTTAATAATTGTTGAAGCTGGGAGATACACATGTGAAAGGAAAATCTTCCCCAAATCACTAAGCCAAAGGAAGAAGTCAAGCTGGTGATTGATGTCTCACATATCCCTAAAATGTATAAAATGAAGCTGTGCACGAACACGTTGGGCACATGTCATCAGGACAGCTTGAGGCTGTCGTGGGCTCTTGCTTAACCTTGGCAAAATAAACTTTCTAAATTGATTGAGACTTGCCTCAGATACCTTTTGATTTACACATACATTAGTAGATATTATAGTCTCTTCTCTTTTGGCAATTTGAGTTTTCTTTAATAATTTTTATAAGGAAGAGCAAAAGAAAACAGCCCAGTAATTTAGAAGATATCAAAATGCCATTTTCCGTGATTCTACATTTGTCCTATTAGAACTAAGGAGTAATTTTTAATGTAAATAGAATTCCATATGTGCATCTTTGTTATTAAAATAAGTTTATGGGGCCAGCTGCAGTGGCACGTGCCTGTAATTCCAGCCCTTTGAGAGGCCGAGGCAGGTGGATTGCTTGGGCTCAGGAGTTTTAAGACCAGCTTGGGCAACCTGGCGAAACCACGTCGTGCACACCTGTAGTCCCAACTTCTCTGGGGGCCGAAGTGGGAGGATTGCTTGAGCCCGTGAGGTTAAGGCTGCAGTGAGACATGACTACACTCCTGCACTCCAACCTGGGCAACAGAGTGAGACCTCGTCTCAAAAAATAAACTGAAGTAAGTTTATGTTAAACTAAGAGCACAGCTGTAAAAAAAAAAAAAGTAGTTTTTAATTCAGTCATGTTAGTAAATAGGAAAAGTTGTTGAGGTTATAAAGAGTGAACTCTAGATATGTTGAACATTGGTCTGAAGGTATTGTATAGTGATTAAGAGAGTAAGCTTTGCAGTCATAGTGACCTGGGTACAAATTCCAGCTCTGTCTCTCAATAGCATGAGACCTTAGAGGAATTAATTTCTAATCTTTAGTGTCTTCATAAATGGGAATTTAGAAATAATTTCTGAAGGATTGTTATAATGTTTCAAATGATTTTTTTTAAAGGCAGTTAAGTGATCAATAAGCTGGAGCTATTGTTATTTTTATTGTGTCTGTAGTTCAGGAAAGGTGGATTTTTCTAACAATTATTGTTGGTGAACTTAAACAGAAAATGTAATATTGAGGGACTCAGATTTTTGGCTTAGCTATGGGTGGAAATAACTTTCTGGGTAAAGATGCTAAACTAAAAATGTACAGCCGAAAATCCTCTTCAGACCTGAGGGATCATCACAATATTATTGTAAAAATATAACAATGAACATGGGAGTACAGATATCTCTTTTGAGATCCTGATTTCAATTGTTTTGGATATATACACAGAAATAGAATTGCTAGATCATATGGTAGTTCTATTTTTGAGGAACTTCCATACTCTTTTTTTTTTTTTTTTTTATAGTCACTGCATCGTTTTACATTCCTGCTATGGTGTATAAGTATTCCAATTTCTCCATATCCTTGCCAAAACTTGGTATCTTTTGAAACAACTTATACGTATGTTGAAAGATGAGTGGGTTAAAAAATATATGGTTTATACAATAGTATTCAATTGAATACTATTCAGTCTTAAAAAAGAAGGAAATCGGCCAGGCACAGTGGCTCATGCCTGTAATCCCAGCACTTTGGGAGGCCAAGGCAAGGCAATCACTAGAGGCTAGGAGTTTGAGATTAGCCTGGCATATGTGGTGAAACCCTGTCTCTACTAAAAATACGAAAATTAGCCTGGCGTGGTAGCTCGCACCTGTAATCCCAGCTACTCAGGAGGTTGACAGGAGAATCGGTTGAGCCTGGGAGGCAGAGGCTGTAGTGAGCCGCGATCGCACCACTCACTACACTCCAGCCTAGGCCACGGAGGAGAGACTGTGTTCAAATTAAAAAAAAAAAATTGAAAAAAGGAAATCTTGCTGTATGTAACAACGTGAATGACCCTGGAGGATGTTATGCTAAGTGAAATAAATCAGTCGGAGAAGGACAAATACTGTACTGCATGATTCCACTTTTATGAAGTATCTAAAATATTCAGATTAATGGAAACAGTAAGATGGTGGTTGCCAGGGACTAGGGGGAAAGGGAAATGGGGAGTTGCTGTTCAACAAGTATAAAGTTTTAGTTCTGCAAGGCGAATAAGTTATAGAGAGCTGGTATACAATATTGTGCCTACTGTTAATGTTACTGTATTCTGCACTTAACATTTTGTTGAGGGTAATTTCATGTTCAAGGTTCTTACTATAATAAAATGTTTTTAAAAAAACCTCAATAATTACCAAAAAAGTATTTCAATATGTAGTAAAAAGAAATATAATGCTTCTGAAGGCAGTTCCTTTTATACTGATAACGAATTGTGAATTGAGATGAGTGGAATTTAGCAATAAAAAGTGTCGAGAGCATTGGGCAATACTGATGTCAATTCTACCTGATTTCATCTATAGATTCAAAACAATCCCAATCAAAACCTCGGTGTGCTTTTTAACAGAAATTCACAATGTGAATTGAAATTTACAAGGAAATGTCATGGATACAGGATAGCCAAAACAATTTTGGAAAACAATAACAGTTTTGGAGGACTAGCATTACTTGATTTCAGGACTTATTATAAACTTATGGTATCAAAACTGTGTGGTATTTATGTAAAGTAAGACAAATATATCAACAGATCAGAATGCAGTGTCCAAAAGTAGAGTCACAAATATTATGGTCAATTGAATTTGACAAAGGCACCAACATAACTGAAATGTGTAGAAGGATAGTCTTTTTGACAAATAGTGTTGGGGCAATTAGACATACACATGGAAATAAAATGACCATGACCCCTACCTTACATAATACACAAAAATTAATTCAAAATGGATGATAGGTCTAAATATAAAAGTTGTTGTAAAACTTCTAGAAGAAAACATGGGAGAAAATTTTTACCACCTTGGAGTAGGATAAGATTTCTCATATAAAATAATCACGAGTCCTAACATTTTTAAAAATTAATACAATTGCAGCTCAAAAA